GTTCTATACTCACGAGGCCATTAAATTGTACAGGCAGAATTTGAACCTAGGTCCATGTGGCGACTGTCTGGGAGTATGGCTCTGCTGTTTCTGATACAATTTAAGATTCTCAGAAAGTTCACTTTCATCTGAGAATCTGTTCACAGAGTTACCAGCCCAGCAGCTGGCCGACAGCTGTTCAGGGACCAGGCTTCCCAGATCATGATTTATGCCCATTATTGGCTCTCCAGCCAGGAACTACAAACATGCTACTTGGCATCCCGAAGAAGAAGGCAGCCTGGAACGCGAATCAAATTCAGGTAGTTATTTCCAGATTTCCAGTCCTTCCAATCCTCAATGCCTAACAGGAAGGCCGCGCTGATACTGAACGTCTCCAGTGTAACAGGGTGGGACGGGGCCAGAACCTGGCCTGGGACTCCCGCACAGTCCCCAAAGCACCACCTCAGATCTGCTCCCAGGGGTCATTAGAGACCTAAGAATCTGCAAAGTTCTCTGGGATTGCAAGAATTCCACCGTAACAGAAGGGGAAAGTCAAGGAACATATAGCAAGGACTCATGGACAAAACCAAAGGGGAAGAGCTGAGGGAGGGAAGGAGGGAGGGGGCAAGGGAAAGTGGTGGGGGGAGGCAGAGACAAATGTATTTGAAAAAATAAATTAAAATTAAATTAAAAAAATAACTACAGGAAACATATAGAAGAATTTGCCAATTCTTTTCCATTTAGAAAATCTTTTATTTCTTATAAAAATGAGAGTATATCACATGTGGTTTTTTTTTTAAAACGAGGTTTTTAAAAAAAAAAAAACCTCAACTTTATGAGGGATAATTTACATACAATAATGCACACTCATTTTAAGCATACATTTTACTAGTTCTGACAGATTTTACACCGTTCTAACCACGACCATGATAAAGATATGAAAAATTTCCGTCATCTAAAACAGAGGCTATCACCAGATGACAGGATTATAAGAGTAATATTTATTTTCTTTTATGGATCTGAATTTTCTACAGTAGCTGTAATAGCATATATTACTTATATAATAAATGAAAGTTTTGAGTTGCAGCTGAAAAACTTGGCTTGCTCATAAAATGAGTATGTGTTGGGCATTAGTAAATGACTAAACTATATACATAACACGCCAGGGATTGTGAAGGGAAAACAAATTCCCCACCAGCACTGCCTCCCCCTCCCACCACTCTTTTAGAGTCTGGCCATTTGCTTACTTTCCCTCAGTGAAACAAAACTCAATCTATCTTAAGACCACTCCCAAACAAGAAAAAGAACACAGGAAACACCCTCCCCTGAGGGATGGAGACACCTCCTTCTAAAAGAAAACTGAAGTAAAGGAAGTCCCCCACTGTCATAAATTACCCGGACCAAGCACCACGGAGTTGAGATCCCACTATTTACAAAGCCTCCAGGCACCATAGAGTTAGAGGTGAGGGTGGTAATGACCCAAAAACAATCAGAAAGCTAGAAGTTGGACAATCCATAGTTACAAGGCCACTCTTTTCCCCGTGTTGTCTTAGATCCTGGATTTGTCTATGTGGCACCCATTCATAACAGCCCACTGTATTAACTCTTATTTTCTTATTCTTTGTATCCTTGACACTGGCATTTGGGGGCCTTTCAGACCCCTACCCAGGGCAAGACTGCACCTCCCAGCACTAGTCAATTCTTAGAGACCACCAAGAGCTCAGCCAGAAGCATGCCTTTCATATACAAACCAACCAATCCAGAGTCTACACCCGCAAAGTACCTCCTTATATAACTCTCACACACCAAGCCCTTATATCCCCTGCCCTAAATCATCCCAGGGCAAGGTACCAAGCGCCTTGAGACCACACCTATAGTCCAAAGCCCACTGGAATTATTCAAACTAGCCAATGCTAAAATGCTCACTCTGCCCTGCTTTGCCTCCTTGGAAACCACAATAAAGGCTCTGTCCAAGGCTTTCTCCTTGTTCCTGTCTCCTGCCTCCTGACCACCCTGATGCTTCCTGCAGTGTGACTCCTACTCTCAAAAAAAAAAAATTAATTAAAAAAATTATCATTCAGTCATACCTCTATAAATTAAGACCTGAGACCAGAACAGCCACCAATCCCGAGCAACCAGAAAAGGCTTCCAAGCAGGAACCAAGAAGCCAAGTCTAAGCTCATATGCTACAAGTCATAGGAGGGAGCAATACGTCTGAGGCAGCATCTGTCATCTCGGGTTACTGGCTATACCCTGGGGACATGCGGTCCTGCCTGAAGCCAACTATCTGCACAGCACAGGTTCAGAAGCTCCTGAGGCACATGGAGAGATGGTCAAGTGGGAGATAACACGTCAGACAGAGAGGCACAGCCCAAGCATCCTTATAGTCTGGAGGGCAGACACTGTTTCAGCCCAGAATTCTGAGTCACAAGGAAAAGGTAAAATTATGATACTTATCTGCTACTTCTTAAAGTGGGAAAGCACATAGTGTACCTCAGACTTTTTCAAGAAAAACTGAATATAGTTTGGCCTGTAATTGGGGAAAACTTTAATTACTTAGAAAACTCACTCATTCTGAATTCCTCCTTCCCAGAAGACACCAACATAAATGAGGCACCACTGTATTTTTATATTACTTTTAGTATATTCTAGCTCTTCTCAAAACCTTACTCTGCATTTCCAGGACATCTCTGCCTATCCTATCAACCTCAGCCCCCTCCTCCCCACACCTCCTCAGCACCACGACCACCACCAGGCCACATTTATCTGGCATTTCTGTACTAAGTACAAAGGACTCAATGTAAAAAAGTGCTGCATAGTGCCAAAGCCCTTTCCTTGAGCAAAAATTCCATAGGTGGAAAAGCTTGTGACATATATCAGTGCCTTTAAGAATGAAAGACCCTACAACAACCCTGAAAAGCTTTTGCTGAGAACACAGCATAGGATAAGGAACTACATTATTAACATCCTTTTAGGGATGATGGAGCATCTCCAAATCTAGTTTTCTTAAAGCTACCTATAATTTTTATTTATGCCAATTCTGCCACAAGTACTACCTCTGGGAATATATGCCCAGGCATATTTATTTTTCCAAACAGCTGTCTTTGGGCGGCCTGCTGTCATTGCCAATTCTTCTGAGGACACAAACATGGCCCAAGTCATGCAGAGGCAAACCCCACAAAGAGGACCAGGCATTTCAACCGCCCAGAACAAAGCAAAAAACGTGTGTGTGTGTGTGTGTGTGTGCGTGGGCACACGTGCACATGTGTGTGCATGTGTGTGTGTTTATATACATATATTTGAGAAACAAATGAACCCATAAATCAATTTAATATTAATAGTCAAAAGAAAGAGCCTACCTTTGAGGTCGGGGCTATGCCAGACTCCTTCATATGTTTCCCACCTTTTCTGAGTGTACTAGAAGTATACGAGATATACTGTTATTCTGAATGAGTATTTAATTTTTGTGATCATGTATATCATTTCATTTTTAGAGAGTGCCCCTTCCCCTAGAACCCCTAGTGGATTGCATGCAATCCTTTTGTTTGCATCTGTAATGACAAGTGGGAACAGCAGCTCTAGGGGTAAGGTCAAATGCCCAACAAAACAGCCCATGAACTGGAAGAAGTGTGAGAAGCATTAATCCAGAATAATGCTGGCCACGATAAACTGAAAATTTCTAGAGTTCTAAGCAACACACCCTTCCCGCACAGCAGTCTCCTGAGTCCTGAAAGTGACAAATACAAAGAAACCCATAGCAGGTGCAGGAGCAGTGTCCCAGGCCTTACACATTCGGCGTCCAAACATTATGCAAGCTGAGCAAAAAATTAGCCCAACAAGTCAACGTCAGAAGAGAAGCGATCCACCACAGAGAAATGCAGTGGCAGCAACCTGGAACACCTTCTTTGGCATTTACAGAATTGTCAGATGTGTGTAAGGAAGAGACTTCTCCATGTCTTCTCTTCCTCTCCGAGGTAATTCAAAGGCAGCCAGGACAGTCAGAGGCAGTCAAAGGACACCCACTGTTCACGCGACAGTTTTGCTTCTCTCTCCAGGATGGAGCTTACTACTCTGGCCACAAGAGCAGAGGAAACCTTCTGTTCCAACCTCAGGGAATTTCTTCCTCACAATCAGCTCTCTGGGGCATCTGAGGACCTTCAAGAGCACATCTGGCAGGGTACAAGGATGCCCACTTCCGGAAACCGCCATGTGCAAAAGAGACTCTCAAACTAGACACAGCTTTAAAGGAGGAGGGCTCCTCTTGAAACGCCCAACTTTCAACACTCAACTCCTCTAGAACAGATAGATCAAACCGTACAAGGTCACCACCACATTAAACAAACGCTCGAAGCTAACCTTATTAATATTGGCACAAAAGGATGCCATGTGCTTCCTGATGTACAGAGAAAGATGCAAATTATCATTTATATAATATTCCTGACAAAAACACATCTAATCATAAGGAATTACCACACAAACCCAAATTGCTACAAAATACCTGGCCTATACTCTGCAAAAATGCCCATGTCATCAAAGGTGAAAAAAAGCTGAGGAACTGTTCCTAAGTAAAAGAGACTAAGGAGACATGACACCTGAATACAATCTGTGCCACCGTAGACTGAATCTGAAGTCAGGGGGAAGGAAAGGACATTGCGGCAAGTGGCAAAATTTGGATATGAACTGTATATTTAGTAATATTTAATATATTTAATAATAGTACATTTAGTATATCTAATAATAGTGCACCCATGTTATATGTCCTGTTTTTACTAACTGACTTGTTATGAAAAGAATGCTCTTCGTCCTCGGGAAGACACGCTGGGGTAATTAAGGATAAAGGGGCATGGGTGTGTGTAACTTTGAAATGGTTCAGAAAAGATGGTGTATAACATGGAGAGTGATAAAGCAAAGGTGACAAAACAGACACTTGATGAGTTTAGGTTAGACTATACAAGGAAGGGTTCTTCATATTCTCTTTGCAACTTTTCTGTAAGTTTGAAATTATTTCAAAATCAAGTTTTTCTTACAGCCATTTTCAGGAATCTTAATGACTTCAATATCTTTAAAGCTCATAACGTGGTTCTACTAATGTCATTTTTCTCTAAATTTCTGCCAAGACACATTCAGGTAAGCAGACTTATTGGCTAGTTTAAAATAAAGTATTTGAAAACAATACAAATTCAGATTCAATTTGCAAAGCATTTCCATGGTAACATCTGTTGAATGAGGCAAGGCCCCCTCCCAATATTGGACTCATTTGTCACCACCGACCCCACTCACAGATCCAGGTCACTGTGCTTCTCTTTCACCACAAGCCGCATGGACACCTGCCCCGAGCTGGGCCAAGGACTCCCCTGAAATTTAGGCAAAGGAGCTGATCTAGTTTGGACCTGCAGGGGAGTGATGGCTCAGTAGCGAAATATCCCAGAGCGCCTTCTCAGAGAAGGAGGACACAAGCGAGCATGCAGAGGTGAGTCCCTGATGTGTTCTCTTAGGTACACAGCAAGTGCTCAATAAAGGTTAGCTGCAATCAGCAGCTGCACTGAACAACGCCCACACTCCAGTCTCTTTATTTAAGCCAGCTCCCCCATGTCTCTGCTCCTCACCACAAGGTGCCTTGACAAGAACAGGCCTCTATCAATACAATGGGATTAACAGCCACCATAAGCTATTCCAGAGCAAGGCAGAGCTTGGAGTGCAGACCCCCACTTTGCCTTTTCACATAAGAAGGAATGGCTCCTTCTGTCCTCACGCTCACAGCCTCTTATCTGGGGCCAAACTGGCTGCAGCACAGCATACAGCCTGTGAAGAGTCCACGCCACTTCTCCTGGGCACCATGCAGCACGGCAAACAGCAGGAAGGGGAGGACCAGGGCCCCGAGCAGTCAGACCTGGATCCTTGGATCTACTTCTGCCTCTCACCTCCCTGCAAGCCTGGTACACAACCACCCTTGCCTGACCCTGTGACAGACAGAATGCCCCCAAAGCTGTCCATGCTCTAATCTCCAGAAACTGTGAGCAAAATGGACTTCTGAGGGTGTGATTAAGGCCTTTGAGAGGGGGAGCCTTTCCTGGATTATCCACATGCGTCCGATGGAACCAAAAGGGTCCTTGAAAGCAGAGAACCTTTCCCAGCCATCATCAGAGGAAGACATGATGGAGCTGGATTTGAGGATGGAGGATTAGGGATCTGAAGATGCAGGTGGCTTCTGGAAGCAGGGGAAAGACAAAGGGATAGGTTCTCCCAGGAGTCCCCAGAAGAAACCCAGCCCTGCCCACACCTTTATTCTAACTCAGTGAGACTCATAGCAGATTTCTAATCTACAAAATTGTAAGACAATAGATTTGTGGTATTTAAAGTCACTACATTTGTGGTCATTGGTGACAGCAGCAGCAGAAACTAATACACGCTTTATTTCTCTCATCTGGAAATGCGTGGGTTTTCGTCCTGAGAAGTCAGGCTAGTGGACCCTAGAGTCTACCTCTTGATTCCCCCCTCAGAAGACCCTGGGACACCCTTAGAAAAAAACCTTGGCCCTTGGCCAAGTGATCTGTAAGGATAATTTACAAAACAGATGACCTCCATGTCAGACTGAACTTATTTTGTATCATCCGACCTTGTTTTGTACAATATTTGCCACCAGAACTCTAATCTTTCCTTTTTTAGTAATAAAAATAAAATCTGTCCCAAGTTACTAAGTAATTAGCAGACCCCAGGATCCCAGAGCACTAGCATCCAAATCACATCCACTCCATCAGTAAACTCTCCCCAGCAACCACGCCCACCCCAGAGGGTGTTTGTGCTGCCTGAGATCCAGCAGTGAAATCACCAGGGCCACCTTCCAGATTTCTGAGTCATCCTTACCATAGCAGGTCCAAGCAGCAGCAGCAGCAGCTGGATTGGGAACTCAAGGCAGCCCAAACCCTGTCCTGGAAATCCAGCTGCTGCGTAAGGGTCACGCCCCCCCTTCCCACCTCATTACTTTCCCTAACGTCTCCTGGGAGCCCTGCAGCTGGCCGAAGGACACGCTGCCAAATGTCGTCCATGGGTGCAGGGATGTGCTCCAGCCACATCGCAGGAGCCACTTAACTTATTGCCTCTGCTCTCAGAAGGGCGTTTGAGGGTAGTTTTTTCATCATTCAAGTATTTCCATTGAACAGAACATCTGGGGGAGACAGCTACTGTCCTAACTACTATGCGGTCTCGCTAAGAAGGCCCATTCCAAGCCTCGTGGCTGTTGTCAAGATGGTTTGTTTTAGAGTAGAGCCTATTTGGAGTTTCCACTTTTTCATTCTACCAACAGCTGAAGAGCGTGTGCCCACCGCACCCCCTCTGAGCAGTTCCAGGGTTAGGGGGTCAAGGCAACCCAAGGCTGACCCAGCAGGAAAGACCTGTAATTGCTTTTGGTAATTTTTGTTGCATCTACTCAACACCAAAGCCCACCAGGTAAGCTGTCCAGGAGATCTTCCCAGAGATAGGCTACATGACTTTTAAAGGGAAGAGCATAGATATACTGAGGATTTGCACTAGAAATGATTCTGGCCCAAAACAGAGGTCTGTTCTAAGCACTCAGGTGCAGAAATCTGTCAGACAGGGTGCTGGCTGCTGCACAGGGGAAGCCTGTTCCAAGGTGGGCAGGTCAGCAAATTCACTCCACAGGGAATTTTATCAGCCTGTTATCACCCTGTCATCATCCGCTCTTGTTAAATATGAGATCTGCCACAGATGCCTGCCAAACGACAGAGAGGGACCATGACCATGCCTTGGAGAAAAATGCTTCTGACAAATGCCACAGTAATTTGGGGAGCCAGGGAGACCCCAGCCACAGGCAAAACAGCATGGCCACAGCAAGGGTGCCAAGGAGCTTCCCTCTGAGCAAAAATGGAAGGAGGGGAACTGGAAAGAGAGGCCAAGGTTGCCATGGGCAGCAAGGAGCAGCCCTGACCCGTATCTTCTCTCTCACTTGCGCCTGAACATAAGTTAATTGCTTCTGAGCATCTATTAACAAGTCAGCACTGCTGGGCATAAACAGAAGGGGAGCAGAGGCAATGAGCCCTAGGAGAGAACTGGCCGAGTCTGCTGAAGCTCTGTGGTAAGTCTTGAAGGCTGAACCAAGAGACTAGAAAGGTTATCCTGGCAACCCCTGCTGGTCAGAGACTCTGTATGAAGCCCTATGAACCCCAGACTTGGCATGGCCATATTTTTTTTAGAAGCCTTTATATATTCATTTAGCTTTCAAAATAACAAATTTTAAAGGTTAACAACATTCCATGCTAGTGAGCGTCCCCACACAGTTGTTGGGAATATGAATTGTAATATCTCCTAAAAGGTGGATTTTTAAAGGTGCATACCTTTTCACCTTGAAATTCTACAGAAATTCCCACATGGTCTACAAATAAGTATTATAAAACTGCTCATTGCAATATTAAAAGAAAAAGGAGGAGGAAAAAGGGGAAGGGCAAGAGGAAAGAGAAGGGGAAAGAAGAAAAAAGAAAAGAAAAAAAGGAGGAGTAAGGTGAGGGAGGGAGAAAAGCCCAGCTGGCAAGAAGAAAACGAAACCTTACATAATGTAACTTTTCACGTTAAAAATATGTACCAACACAAAGAAATAATGTGCAGCCTTTATATACGGGCTAGATTTGTATGAGCATGGAACCCATGTCTATATTAGTTTTTTAAATGTTACACAGAACCTTGTGATGCTATATTATTTTTGTTTTTAAAAATACACACTTTCTCACACATAAAGAGTCAGGAGGGCATCATTTTTAGAGTACTGATACCACCTTGGAAGTATTTTTCCTTTTTGGCAAAAGCAAAGGGGGTTAATATAGTTTACTGTTCTCAAGCTAGGTTAAGAGCTCTGTCTGTGAGAAGGGACCAAAAAAAAACTGGCTAATTCCCAGCTAGACATTCCTTCAATTAGAAATCATGCTTTTTAGGCTTTTCTTTTTTAATAAAGAGAAACCTGCCTCTGCAAGTCCCAAATGAGAAAAAGAATTGTGACTGAATGTCACCATGGACCCACAATTTCAGACAAGTTATAAAATGGCCAAGAATCCCAGTCTGCTGGAATAGGGGTACCTACTGGTGCTCAGTGTGGGCCGCAGGCACGATTCTCCTGTACCCCCATCCCAAGTGCCCTGTGAGCGATGCTGGTTGTAGGGTGGAGACATTCTGAATGACAGAGATTGACAGGGTTCTGCCTTGAGGCAGAGGCAGCAAGCATGGCAAGACAGTCAGTATCTGAATACTGTTTAGGGGGAAGGGCCCTTTGCCTCTGTCCCCAGCATGCTAAAATGTGTTCTATTGTGATTAAAAAAAGAAAAAAGGTACAGTCTGGTACGAGAGGAGACAGTCCCAAGTTTCGCATGTAACATAGGAACCCTGAAAGACTGGAAATCTTCACAGACGTTGCCATTGTGGAGAATATTACGAGGGAAACTGCTTTTGCCCTTTTTATAAATCCTTTCCCTTCACTTTCTTTTTTAAAAAAATATCAACAGGTTTTAGATTACTTTTATAACTTTGTAAAGTAAAAAAACATTTTAGCCCTGGCTGCTGTTGCTCAGTGGATTGAATGCCAGCCTGCGAACCAAATGGCTGCTGGTTCAATTCCCGGTGAGGGCACATGCCTGGGTTGCAGGCCAGGTCCCCAGACGGGGGAACGCAAGAGGCAACCTTTTCTCTCTCACACAATGATGTTTCTCTCCCTCTTTGTCCCTCCCTTCCCCTCTCTCTAAAAATAAATAAATAAAATCTTTTTTTAAAAGACATTTTAAAGAAATCCAAACAAAACTTGTTATAGGAAAGAATATACTTTTTTTAGATACTCACAGAGTATCTTCCATTTGCTCTCTCCCGTGATCGCAGATAGCTGAAGAGAAGAGGGCTTCTGAAGTCCACAGAAGGCTAGGAAACATCTACCGTGTGCTTACGTGTGAAGACTTGTCGTCAGCAGAGACCAATCTGACCACCGTTCCCACCCCTGTGTTTCTGCAGAGATCCACCAGCAGTGCCTGTGAGTCACTGCTCTTCCAACAGGCTGACTTTAGGGCAACAAGTGGAAGAAGGGAAATTACACCATTGGATTCATTTAACAAAAGTCTGAGCTCAAGGTTGAGTGCTGGGCCCTGGGATACAGGAGGGAT